GAACACAAAGAATCCGACCTCTAAAGCTGTATTTTTCCATTTTTGCGAAAGAAGATCATGATTTATGGTATCAAATGCTTTTTTGAGATCAACAAGGCATAATTGACTAACGAATTTTTTGTCCGATCCCTCTCTAATAAGTTCGGTGAATTCAATTAATGCGTCCACGCATGACTTTTTCTTTTGAAATCCAAATTGTTTTTCATAAAGAATCTTCTGCTTGTTAGCAAAGTTATACATTCTATTGAATATTATCCTTTCGAAAATTTTGCTGAGTGAACTGAGTAAACTAATAGGTCTATAATTTTCCAAAGATTCTTTTAAACCTCCCTTAAAAAGGGGAAACGACTTTTACAGCTTTAAAGCCTTGAGGAAACTAACCACTATTAACGAATTGGTTGAAAAGACTGCAAATTCTTACAGAAATTACAGGCAGCGATAATTTTATAATTTTGTTATTTATGCCACAAAGACCATTTGAACCTTTATTTTTCAACATATATGGCAATTTTAATTTTCTTGTGGGTAATTTTATAAAAAACCATTGATTTTTTGATGCGATCTACATAACCCAACGCTTGTTTGTAATCAAATTCAGGATTTCTCAGTTTCTCGCCAATTGAGGCAAAAAATTCATTTAAAACATCAGCAGCCAAAAAACTCTTGTTTTTGGAGTTTCCTCTGCAAAATTCATTGAAGGCCTGGAACAGCGATTTCGAATTTCTACCATTTCCAACTTTTTTGTCGTAATAAACTCTTTTTTCAATTCTTATTACCTTGGTTGCTAAATTTCTAGCTTGAGAATATTTCAGTTTATTCAGTTCAGTAGGATTTTGTACCCACTTACTGAAAAACCGATCGCGGTTTTTGAGGATCTTTTTGGTTGAATTGGTAACCCATGACTGTTTTTGTGTTTTCGATTTTTCTAAGGGAGCAAAACGATCAATTGATGAAACCATGGATTCAACTAACAGACATAATTTCTCATTGGGATCACTAAGCTTATAAAATTTTGACTATTTGTTTTCTAAGAGTAATAAATATTCATAAATATTATCGTCACGGTAAAGATTTTGAAGATTTTTATAGCAGTAATCTTGATTTTTTTGCGGATCAACATTCACTTAACCAGATAAAATTACGGGAAAATGATCAAAAATAGTTGAATCCAGCGTTTTTACGTTGGCATCGAAATTAGCAATTAAATAATCAATACATTGACTCAATGTTGGAGTAATGCGAGTTGGATCTCTATTCAAAATATGCGCACCACAGCTTTTAATTAGATTAATATAAGAATTGGAAATTGGCTTGCAATCTAAAGTGTCGATATTAAAATCTCCACAAACAAGAAAATTAGTTTTCAAAGCATTTAAGTACAGAAAGTAATTCTCAAAGTGATTTTAAAAAAACCTCATTTTTGCTCTGTGGGTGTTTATAGACAACGTAAAAATAGTAGCCTTCAAGATGATAGAGATTCAGATAATCATTATCACACAGCCAGGTTTCGCATAGCGCAATAATCAAAGGTTTTTGTTCTAACTGATTAATATCTATAACGAGTTGGTCATGATGGCATCTGAGGGACCTTATTTTACTGTCTTTTAAGTAGCCCATATGACGTTCTTCTATATAGTTGTATATAGTGCTGTTGATATTATTTAAACAGTGTGACATAGATGGCTGAGTTACCCACCATTTGATAAAAAAAATTTTTTGTTACATTATGTCTTTTTTTTCTGCTATACATTATGTTGCGAGTCTTATTTTTTGAACCAAATTATAGCTTTACTCAGTCTAAGAGGTTAGCTCAAACTGAAGTCGAAAAAGAATTCAAGCCGAAACTTCATTACAGTCAAAAAATTGAACTTTGTTTCTTTTTTAACAAATAAATTCTTGTGTATATCCATCATGGCTTTCAATTTCGGGAATATGTTTTTCATCGGTCTTAGAATAGCCATAAAAGGCTAGAATTGGTTTGCTTGAAAATTTGGGTTATTCTTTGAATAAAATTCAGAACGCAAACATAGTTTCATTAGTTACTTTTTGCGCAAAAGTTCTAAATTTTCTCAAAAGTTGAAAACTTTTCAAGATGCTTCAGAACACAAACTTTTGTTTGTAAATCAAGTATATTGGGGACATAATTTTGTAGAACTCAACATTATATTGAAAAAATTTTTGAAATTTTTTTGAAGCAGGAAATTAAAATTAAACTGCAAAATAAGTACATATTTGATTACCAATTAGTCAATACATAAATCAAATACATCCTCAGTTTTCTCGGAATGCAAACCTTGCTAGAAAATGTACAATAAATCTTTCTTTTTTTCAAAGTTGTTGCAAGAGTTGAAATCAGTTTGCAACATGTGCAATAAATAAACAAAAATTTGCGCTCTACCGAAAAAATAATGAATTTGCTGCTTTTATTATATTCAGTGCTTTTACATATATATTAATGGTTGTGTAACTTCGAAAATAAATCGGATCAACCGTACAATCTCTTCTCCTTTCTCCCCTAAGTGACCTACCATAAAAAAAACCTTCCCAAGCATGTATTAAATCTGAAACTTAATGCAGTTTAAATATGCATTTCATTCAAACGCGCAAATACAATTGGTCTGCACATTTTTTATGCGGGAATGCATTTTTATGCTATTAATTTCACAAATTAATGTTTCAATTCTATTTTTTTAGTAAAACTGTTAATTTTGAACAAAGAAGGCTAAACTCAAAGTTAGTTTATGATAAATCCATATTTTTTCCATCTAAATTGATTTGAGGGGGAATTGTACGGTTGATCCAATAAAACAAATGTTTTACCGCTAACTAAAAATAAATTTTTTTTTGGAAATTCAGAGGTTTGAACGAAATGCTTCATTTACTTAATATTAGTGAAATGACTACGATGTTAAAAACTTGCAACAGTTTTGAAAAACTTTTGCAAGATTTACGTCCCTTCACAAAAAAATTGCATGTTTTGTGTTTTTAGTTCAAAAAGTACCGCGTTTTTACCAAAGCAACCTCGAAAAAATGCGTATGCTCTGACCATCCCCCAGTGAATATTGTGGAATGTAGGCGGAGGATTTTTTTACGCGAAATCAGTTGTCACAAACATAAGTTGACGAGAAGCTAAGCTTCTAAATTCAATTTTTCGAAGCTAAGCTTCTAAAAATTGAAAAAAAAACGCTCAATGGATACGTGCGTAGGAAATAATTTAGTTCATATCATTATTTTGAGTTTTTGAAGCGCATTATTAGTTATCCTGCTGCTCTTAAAAAAGAGAAAAATTTCAAAAATTTGACAAATTCTTAAGATGCAGTACTTATCGCGTTGTGGTTAATCGCCTTTGCAATGGCATTTTGGTCAAAATCTTCTCTGTTTCTTGTTAACCTTGTTGTTCGGACAATTTTACAAACAAACAGGGGTTTTTTCACTTATTACGTCCAAATTTCCTAAATCGGCGATTTGTAATGTTCAATGTATAAAGGTACAAAACAAAACGCCCATCGCACCGATTGGTTTGGTTAAGGAAATGCAATGTTTTTATTCTTTTAAAAAGCAAATAGGCCAAATCGACCAAAATTATACAACTTTATTAAATTATTCGAATTGGTTTTTTATTCGAATAGCTGCAGATTTTTACCCAGACCAAAAAAAAAACACAGAAAAAAGGAGAGAAAAAAACGATCACGTTCACAAAAATCGGCCTTGTTTGAAATTGGTTAAGTTTTCTTTCAGTTTTTTGTTTTTTTTTTCTCCTGGTCTGCGTAAAAATCTGCAGCTTATTTGAAACGTATTCGAATAATTTACCAATTTATTCTAAACTTTGTCATTCGGCTTATAACACAAGTCGAACTAATATTGTGAACAAAACATTTTGAGATGGTGCTGAAGTTTGATTGGCTATTCTAGCCAATCAAATTGGAGCAAAACAAATTCATTTCAGAAATTTTGATTTTTGGGCGGAATAAGTAAGAAGACCCACAAACAGCAAGAAGTTATGGTGTAGCATGAAGTTTTCACCAAAATTTCATATAGTTGTGGAAAATCATGAAACAAGGGTAGTTTCAAGGTAAACCCCTCTTAGACTAATTTACACGGTTGAAAATTATTTGCGTTTTTACAATAAAAACGTTTGAAAGTATTTTTCCAGAAATTTATTGCGTTTTTTTATTCTTATCTAAAACACCTGATTCGTGCAGATTTTTTATTATGAAAAATTTGATCGTTCCCACCACCAAAAAAAATTTAAAAACGAAAAAATGAATTGAAAGCTTTGTATTGTTTTACTCTGTTTTTTTGGCTTACTTTGATTAAGTTGGTCGGAAACTTTCGTGATTCTTTCTAAGTAACCGAATACACTTGTTTATAATATGCGTTTTTAAGACAATCAGGTACTTGGCTCATCTTTGCGGGATCATATTGCGTTTTTATCTCGATATACAGAGAGGTTTCTTAGACTTTCCAGAGAAAGTGTGGGCGGGTTTTATAAAAATCAGCGAAAGTTTGCCGATGTTTTTTTAGATCAATCAAATGGTTTTTCTAAGCTCTGATAATCACTAATATGACACTATTAACCAAAATGCTTGGTTAAAATAAAAAAAATGTTTTTATGACGCTCGCACTTCCCTCAAATTAAGTATGATGGTTTGATCGGCCGAAAATTGATGTCGTAAAATAGTACAACAGTTCTTAAGGGCAATCAGGGGGTCCCGCCTCCAGTTTTACAAGGGCGGATTTAAAGCGACCGCCCTCTCTTCAGTGATTCGATACCTTTGGTACTATTCTAAGAAATCCAGTTTTTTGATGGCCGACCTTGAAATTAACACAAAAATTAATTATTTAAAAAAGAATTTTGAGTTGAATTTTTGACTAATTTTTTGGCACTAAGTGTTTAGTAAAAAAAATCAAAATGAGGGAATTTATCCTCTTCACTCCATTTTCGTCTCCCAGAAAATTTTTTTGCCTGGTTAGTACTAGTTCAACAGTTCAAGTGAAAACAGGAAACCAAAACTTTTTTCTTAAGAATATTTATATACAAATTTAAGATAACTGAAATTATTATACAGTGCACTCAAAAATTTAGCTAAAAATTTGATCCCCACGATGAAATTTCATCTTGCGAGATCGTCTTTCTCCAGCTTTTCCATCGCTTATTTGCCTGATATTACGTCACAGAGTGGATGATTACGTCATCCTTTGTACCTGTAGGACTTGTCGCTTTGATATCGTTCCTCAAGTAGATTGGAGTACCACGTGGAGTTATTACATAACTCTGTCAGGTTATGATAAGATTGGGGAGTCCAGGTGTTGTTCAGGAGGTCTTTCTCTTTGGTCAGAAGGTCCAGACAAGGCGATGGCTGCACGTCAAATGAGACCAGACATGCAATTACCATAATGATCGTGATGCCGAACGCGATTATGATAACTGCCACCCTCTTCATTCTCCCTCTTTTTCGGCTAAATGAGTCCCTCTTCAACTAAACCCTGATAGTATTATGTAATAAAATGAGCAACTGTCAAGTTTATCTGATTCAAACGTTATGCAACTGGTTAATTTAACTGATTATAAAGTTATAGAAAACTGTGTAAACCAATAAACTGTAATCAAAGATGAAATGGAAAGTTAGCGAGCATAGTCTTTCGAACTCAGTTTGATTTGATGCATTTTTTTCTCTAAACTTATTGTAACTTGAAAAAATATATATTTCAAAGCATCAAAACTTGGAAAAAGAATAGCGTTTGCCTCGATTTGAAAATTTAAAATCTCTTAGATTAATTTAATAACCGTTCTTGACTGTTTGTTATTAGTGCGGAGCACTTTTTTCAACATTGTAGATGCTTAATTAGGAAGATAACATATCAACCCATGTAAATTTTTCGATGGTTCTACGCGTACAACTATTCTGTCCTAAATTATGAATGACATTGCCAATTCGATTATAAATCTAATTCAATACGTAATCCGCCTAGGTGAACGGGGCTATGTGTTTAATTAAATTTCAACCACGCAATGCTATTTTTCTGAAGGAGAAGGACAGCAGAAGATTTAGGGTGGGGGGGGGGGGGGGTAGGTTTAGACAATTTTTCGGCAAGATGTTTATACCCCCTGATTCTTGGGTACTACTTTATGACTCTAGTGTGCTCTGTAGAAAAACGCAACTACTTGGTTAAAAAATCAATCAAAAAAGTGTTCCAAAACGTCAATTTTTGCTTGTTTTTTCCCCTTAAATTAGCCTGTATTTCAGATAATTTTGACCAAATAAAGATTTATAGCATTTTGGTAGAACTCACGAAAAGCTTAGAGGGACATATGATGGAAGCACGCATTTTAGAAAATTGCTTGTGAGCAAATTGTTATAAAAGCACTATTTTGCAAAAAAACTTGGAATGATTCAGAAATCAACTCGGAAACGTGAAAGTCGTGAAAATCCTACATCCTCTGTATATTTATAGCTATCTTTTAAAACCCCACTCCCTCGAGAAAACCCTGGATCTACACTGGATGTTGGTAAGGAAAATTTTGAAAAAGTCCTGGATGGAGATTTTTTTGTTAAATCAGGTTTAAATTCACGCTGAGTAAAGCAATTTATTGCAAATCTTGGTTAGGAGAGTACGCATGATTTAATATTTTTGAAGCAACGTAACATGAAACTTAATACAAACAACAACACGCAAAAATAGACATGTCAGCTCAAGATAACAACTCGCGGCAGTGCTTCAAGTTCAACCTACCTGATTTGACCAAAAATGCTACTCATCTATTTTTCATATATAGAAAGTTTATATCATACATTTTTCATTCAATTCCATGAGCAAGACAAGTTTCAGGAAAGGTCTTTGATCAGTGATTTTCAAATACAGAAAAAGTTTGGCAAGAATTTTTCCATAAATCAAAAATTTGATTTTTATTTTAATTTCTCTATATTTCAAAGTTGTTGTGTTCGTAAGCGAAAGCGAGTGACAAAGATCTTTGTTTGCTCAAAACAATAGTAATCAAAAGTCTGACTATCTTGCATTTACAATGCGTTGGAAAAGACGTTCCAAAATTGGCAAAAAGGTTCCAAAACTGAACCAAAAATTTTAATTACTTTAGATTATTTTATTCTTTATGGTTCTGAGTTGTATTTGTAACTCAAAAGCATTGTCAAACTTGTTCAAAAATTGGCAAAAATGGCATTGGCAAAAATGTTCCTTTGCCTAAAATTTTCCAAAATAGAATCGAAAATTTCTGTAACTTTAAATTATTTTATTCTCAATGCTTTTGAGACGTGTTCGTAAGCAAAAACAATTGACAAAGACCCTTGCTAACTCAAAACTAGGGTCGCCAAAGTTCTGACTGTCTTGCATTTACAATTTTTTGGAGTACACTTCAATTGTCGTTTGTTAGTCTTACACAAGTGGTGTTTCAAAAATACATTCCTCGTCATAATTTTCCGTACCATCTTAATACATGCTAAACACTTGTTTTGAGACAAAACTTCGCCAAATGACTACTCAAGAGTGAAAGCAAAGCGGGTACCCAAGCATGTGACGGTTGGCTTCAGAAAACTGTGTATAAAACGATGCATTGCTCTGCTGAAAAAACGCAAAGAAAGGGTGACAGCCTCAAAAATCCTGAGGGAGACGGCACTCAAAATCAGCAGAAGAACGGTTCATCGAGCTTTATCAAGAATGAGGTATGGGTACAAAAATGCAAAGTTCACAATAATTTTGACCAAAAAACAGAAAGAAAATTGAGTACGCCTCTGCACTGATTGGTTGACTAAACCAAAAAATTGGGATGAAGTCGTATTTAATGGAAAAAAAATTAAACTAGACGGACCCGACAACTGGTGTTCCTGGATGGAGGAAAATCATCAAGTTTACCTCATTAAACGTCAATGTGGGGGTGGTTACCTAATGGTCTGGGGTATGATTTTTTCGACCATATCAAAAAATTCAAAATTGTAAAAATGACCAACCCCACAAAGCATCAAAGCATACAAAAAATGTCACAAAAAAATATGCGCTTGGAATTTTTTTAAAAAAATTTATCCGGAGAGGCTGAAAATAGTCCAAATTTTAGGTATCCAGGAGTATCTTATGCACGTTTTTGGGAAAATGTTTGTTTGATCACAAAATTCGTTTCTGGTTCACTTTTTCTGGTTCAAACTACTTAGAAAACAATTTTGCTTCCGCTATCAAAAAAATTGCTTTTCATTCAGTTTCCACTAATGGAGGCTGAATGATTAGTTTTTTTAATGAATTTTTTTTTGTTTATGACGATAAAACGGTTTATTTGCCATAACAAACAAACCTCCTTGAAATTTGGATGAGATAATTTTAGCAATGTCTATGAAATTTGTTTGATTACTATTTTTTCATGCATCAAAATAAGAAATTTTAGGGCTAGTATTTTTACTTTATGAAGGTACAACCGGTATATGAGTACAAAGCCTTATTCATACACGTCAAACCACTCGTTTCAAATGTAGGCAGAGCAGCGCGAAACTGCAAAAATGAACGCTTCTTTCAGATGCAGCTTTTTAGTTTATTTTTCTTACTTTCTGAACTGTAGCTTTCTTTGAATATTGCTATTTGTCTTTTGATCAAAATTGCCATAGTTCGGTTATGTGTGTGTGTGATTCAAGCAAAATTCATTTAGTATCAACTGTTATTCTTTTTTGTAATTTATTTGTCTTGTTAAGGCGATAAAAACACAATTTCGCCTAAGTAATAATTCTCGAAGTTTATTTGTTTATTGCTTAAAAAGTCTTCAAATTTTCTAGCTAACTGCCATCAGATGGAAGATTAAACGGAACTTAATGTAGGATGAAACAAAATAAGCGTGATTTGTGGCGTCCATCATGATGAAGATACCGAGTATTGGATTTTTTTCCTGTTATTTTCAGTCAATTAGAATAGAAGAGTAATCAAAAATTCAAAAAAAAATGTAAAAATAGTAAAGAAAGCAAATAAATACAAGTCAATTAGAGGTCAGATATTGAAAAATTTTTAAATCAGTTGAAAAAACAAAGGAAAAAGCTAATTGTATATCCGATGACTCGAACAAGTACAGCAAGATCTTTCTGCGCTGCTGTGATTCTATCTTTGTTAACTATGACTTTGGTTTTGTGCAACAGCCATTTATCCAATAGGATAGTCTAATGATTCTAATTGGTTAAAAGTTTCCCATCGTTTGGTTCCTCCATCATGAGAAAACTCCCAGCGTGATTTAATTAAAATGATGTGACAAACATACTTAGATATGTTTCTAAAGTATTAGTATTAAAGCATTCAAACATTTTTAAAAATATTTGTTATCGTTTTAAGAACAATTGACCTTGTCTTGATTTTTAACTAATAATTTTTTCTGTCTTAACTTTCTGGTAAATTTCCGACAAATTTTTTCAGCTGGTTTTGCTGTCTTCTATTTTCTGAAGATTTGAGAACAATTGAACAAAAAAACGAGAAATATATAATTTTGAAGTTTGGGCTATTCTTGTGCGTTGTGTGATAAAGAAAAAACAAGGAGAGCTTAGAATTGAAAAAATATTTTTTTCTAAGCAACCATAGTCGTCTTTAAAAATGAATAGCAAAATCAAACATGTGAAAAAAATTTGAAAGTTCAGATTTGAAATTATTTTTTTTGAATTAAACCCATTTCTTACCTAATAATTGTTATTAGCTCGCTTTACTTGCTTGACTGAAAATGTTTCAAAATAATACAGTGCTGATTTAAATTATCCCGACAAAACAGAACAACACTTGGAATGTTAAACGCGTTTTTCTCAAATTGGGTTGACTTCAGAAAAAAAGATGAAGACAAAACTTGATAAGAATTTCAGCTGAGTAATTTTGTGCAGACTATTTTGCAATATTCGGGCCCAAAATTTTACCTCAAAAATGACCATACCTTAAAAAATGATAGTTTGTGAGGTAAAATTTTAGATTCGAATTCTGCAAATTTTTTTGCACCATTATAATTCAGCTGAAATTCTAATCAAGTTTTGTCTTATCATTTTTCTATGAAGTCAACCCAATCAATAAAAAATTGCGCCAAAATTATTGATTCAATCACTGACAATAATAAATCAAAGTAAGCTTTTTATATAGTCCAACAAATTTAAGAAAGGTATATTTTTCCAGAAATTGGCGCAAAACGTTTTAAATTTTTTTTTTTTTGGAATTGGCTTGTATAAAGTAAAGTTGACATTTATTGGTTATCAAACGAAAATAATTTTACTTTTACGACACTGAGACGACACTTTTAGCAACACTGTTAGCAACACTGGTAGCAACACTTTTACAACACTGTTAGCAATTAAACCAATAATTTTGGCGTAATTGTTGATTGAATAAAAAGCCGTTTCTGGGGTAAAAGTTTGGGCCCGATTTTCTTCAAATAAACGGCTAAATGTAAGTTTTTTGAAATTTTAATCAAATTGTGCCTTCATCATCTTTTTGTCTTAAACCAATCCAATTTGAGAAAAACGCGTTTTAAGTTTCAAGTTTTATTCGTTTTGTCCGGATATTTTAAGCACTGTAAATCACTCAACCCATTCTGATGGTTATCTTTGATACCTGATTTTGCGTGCAAAAAGTAAAAAAAGAAGCAAATAAAAACCCGAAGGCAAAGTTTCTCCTACATCCAATAGAACGAAAAGTTACTGAACTGTTTTTTTTTCTGTTTTTTGAACGAATTTTACTGAACTGTTTGCTGACAAGAGACCGTAATCTGTGCTAGTTCCTTTTTTTTATTCATCATTATAAATTTTGAACTTATTTCTTCTACTGGTGTCAGTTCGTCCACCAAGTTCAAGTCAATCTAGTTGCAATCAAACCGAACTTTGACATATGAGCTGAAAACTGAATTTTACCTAAATCCGAATTTAAACCCGAATAATCCGACAGGTGAAGAAACGTCTTCTTGCGTTTCCTTTTCAAATATGGGCTTTTCTAAGTCTTTTAGGCTGGTAATTAAACAAAACTTTATATACTGGATTTCGATAATTGAAGAAGCGCTGGTAAATTCGGGGGTGATTATGGCGGCAAGTTTTGTAATTAGATAATCAGAATCAGCGATAAATATATTTATCAAAAGATCAATGCGTAGTAAAATACTGACACAAAATTATTTTGGATATCACAAAAATAATAAGTAAAAAGTCTTTTTTCCTTCATTATCGGTGGTTTCCTTCAAATGGGTTTTTTAAAGTATACTTTGGGAAAATTCACTTTAATAAAATGATCAGAGTGGTTTTGGACAATAATAGCGGAAGTGTAAAATGTGGTAGTATGGTAGGAAAAGGGACAACCGTACTCTAACAGAATTCTATAATGAAAGAAGCTCTCGCTCATCTAAAAGTGGTCTAACTATTGTCAGGGGACTAAGTTCTCATTTTCTAACTCGACCAATGTTTCCTCACATTAAAAGTGAAAGTGAAATAAAAGCTGATTTTACCCCTTTCTTATTGCCCTTTAAGGGTAGTATACTAATAAAGAAAGGTTCATTTTTCAATTTTCAGACGCCTTTTGGGTGGCGAACTGGAATGTGGGCTGTTATTCTCAACTTAATTTGTACCCGCATTCATCATTTTCTACGTTAACAAAAGTCTCGGCAGTCTTTCTTTGTTATATGAAAATGAAAATATATTTTTTTCTTTTTGTCACAAAACCCGGCCAATACATATAGCTACTTAGCGCTCAAACTACAGATTAAAGTCAACAAAAACGTAGATAATTACTGAAATACCTTTTTAATATATCATAATTGGACTAAATATACATCCTCCCCCACCCCCTTCCCTCCACCCCCAAAGACGTTTGGGGGGAGGATGTTAACTTGATCCGCTTAGTTTTTAGTTCAATTATTTCATAGCTAATTTTGAATAAGTTGTCGGCTTGTTGAAGATTCTGTTTGGAGATTAGCTTGCTTTTTGATATTTTCGATATGTTCTCTGTTAGAAGTGGAAATGGAAAGCGGAAGGGAATTGGGCAAATCAATGTGAATTGTACCCTTCTATGTCTGTGGGGAAAACAAGGCAGTGGGTCGGGACGCAGCGCCTCTTTCTAGTTCATATACCTCTTTGAAGATTAAATTCAGTACCTTCGTTCGATCTGCTCATTATTGCTTTTTTTGTGTTTCCCAAAATCCCTCAGAAAAAAAAGAAAGAAAGAGATGCAAGAAAGACATCTTTTTTGTTCTAGAAGTAATTAGCGTACAGAATGCTTTAATGATGAAAAATAGGTTTTAAAGCCGATGCACAAAAATATCCACAAAATAAGTTGAGATTTCCGAATATTCTGTATTTTTCTTTCATCCGTACACGGGCGGATTTAGGTTTGCTTGCGAGAGGTTTTCTATAAATGTGCAAAGTTTTAGTCGACCGACCCTTTTTGAGGCACGGATGAGGTCTGCGTCTAATGTCCAGACTATCACGCCCAAGTTCTGGCATTTGTCGCGGACCTTCGCGACTAATGTTCAGACCTTCGCGACCAAGGCGTAGATGATGCGACTAGATTTTCGGGACAAATAGAATATTCGGAATATCTTTCGCCACTTCCGCCACAATACTTTAACAATCTAGACTCTCGCGACCGAGAATTTGCGCCGCGACTTTCGCCACCACGGAAAACTCGGCTCAACCCAGAATACGTAGCGGCTACCGAGTAGATCTGTTGCGGCTTTCGCGTCCAAGGTGGAGACGACGCGATCCTTGGAAATACCCGACCCTAGGAATGTTGCGACATACGGAACAGGGCGACCGGCACGACCCGACATTTAACGACACAACAATCTTGACTAACTTCTTTATCTGTCCAGATTTTTGCGACTGAAGAAATTGACATACATGCAAGAAAAAGAGTCTGAAAAGTATGAACATAAAAGCGCGAAAATTTCGAAAAACTCTAAAATATGGGCGCAAAAGTTTGGAGAAAAAGTCGGAAAAGTCTGGGAAATTGCAAAAATCTGTAAGATCTCAAAAAATATTATAAAATTTTTTTGAAATTTTTATGTTGCAGACTAAACCTTTCAACAAGAGTTTGAATCAAAACATATTAATAATAATAACAATTGTAGTTCCTGCGAACTTAACAGTCCTGTCGAGGATAGTCCATTTGTATTATCTCCCCACATTCCAGACAGTGATATTGTTGCTGAGCGAAGCTGTTTTTTGCGACTCAAGGCGGTTTTTTTTGGGTCTAGAACTTTTACGTGGTACCACTATTGCAGCCAAATTTGGTCAGGTTGTGGTAGACCTGAAGCTGGAGGTCAAGTGAGAGCTTGTCCTCACACACTATCATTGCCATGGCATGGGATCGAATTCACGATCTGACGATTTCAAAGTCAACGCCTTACCACTGTGCTAAGTGCCTCATATTACTGAAGAGTATAAAAATGGTTTAGGTGTTTTTGTTTTTTCTTTTTTTATAAAACACGAAGCTTCCATTTTTGTTTAAGTACCTCATAACCTAGGAAAATTTTTAGCTGGACATTGCTTCTCGAACTTTTGTCTAAGATCATTTGAAAATTTTTGTCCTTATTTTCATCAAACTTGCATCAATCCTGCATGGTCGCGGTGTTTTGGTATTAATGGTTTGTTGATCGAAGCCTCGTGAAAACATTAACCAATAATTATTTATTTATTTGTTAAAATCCAAACTAATCATTATTATACTTCAGTATTTATTAAGCTTCAAGGAATTATTCACACCTGTACAAATTAAAGGAAACGTCCTTTTTTCCGACGCAGTTTTTGGTAAGTCGAAACGAAAGTTGTCGATCGTTCTACATTTTCCTGCTCTGGTTTTTTTTCTATTGGTTTCCATCATTAGCATTGTTCGCATTATTTGCATTATTCACGTTATTCGCTTTCTACGCTGCAGTGGCTGCTCTTTGTTGCTCATTTCGATACATCGCTATAACTAAGTTTCTCCCACCGGCCGGCAGCAAATTCTGATCTCTATAATATCCATCAGCAGCGCATTTCCGCAGAATCAGGAACATCCCATAAAACACAAGTTCCACCAAGTGATAAGAATCCATCTTGCGAAGACCAGTCTCCATTAACTCTGGCACCATTTCCACAAGCCGAGTGATGTAGAGTGAAATCCACCTTAGAGCCTAAAAATGGCAAAAGCAAAAAAAAACTTAGACATAAGTACCATAATATACTGAAATTATGTATACTGTAAATAACAGTTTTGCCAAAATCTCACCATTAAATTCAAATTCAGAAAAACATTCAGTAGACAATTGGAACACTATTAATGAATTCAAAAAGTTAACAAAGTTTCAAACACAAGTATCAAAAAACAAAATTGAAACCTAGCGGTTAAAAAACAAAATTGTGGCCTAGCGGTTAAAACAAACGTCTAGATGTCGTTGGATCGGAGGTTCGAGCACCGTCTGGAAATTTTTTCTAACTAGAAAATAGCATAGATTTAGCTAATTGCTGATCAGACATGATCAAAAATAATTTCAAAAAATCCCTCATTTATTTAGACGGTTCAAAAAAATTCCCGGTCAAAAATAAAGGATTTATTCGGTACGGCAACGAAATGATGTTGTTAAGAAAAAAATTATCCTTTTTAGCTACACCTTTTGAACAGTAATTCAATCAAACTTCACTTAATTTGATCAAAACTAGCAGGAACTAAGTTTTTACAACAGGTTCAAGAGAAAAAACAAATTCAAGTTCACTTTATGTTTGCTCGTGTTTCCCTTTAGCTATGGTTTTGACATTCAAAAAAAGTGACGGAATGTTTGTGCTCGGGCTGGTTTTTTCTCTAGACAAATTTGAGATCGAGAAAACATAACTTAATTTTTTGTTCATTTTTAATTTTGGATCATATTTTTAAATGAGTCAAAAATTGCGAGTTAAACAGTCACATTTTTTAGAGAAATGAAAACAATCCGGGGACAAAAGCTCCGTCAATTTCTTCGAAAGCTGGAACAATAAGTTAAAGAAACACACGCGAACATAAAGTGGATTCGGATATAGTTTTATCATGAACCTGATTACTAAGTCAAATTTAATTGGTCGAATCTCTCAGAACTAGCTTTTTTGACAAAATGTTCAAAAGATATTTCAATGAGACCAACTTTTGCGAAGTTATGAGGGTTTACAGATTGCCAATTTGGCCAATTTGGGATAATAGGATGATATAGTTTGGGCTAATAACTCATAGGCGGAGATTTGATCCGTCGCTGAAATCTTTCCAAATTGAATTGAGGCATGCTATTTGTACTATTTTAAATTTTAATATATGCAAAAAAAATCCCTTCGTACTTTACATAGCGCGTGGGGAAAAGATTTACGAAAACAAATCTCATATATTTTTTTATTTTTTTAAAATTTACCTTGATTCAATGGTTTTTACAAGGAACCACTTTTCCTCAGCACTTAAAAGCAGTCGGTAAATTCAGGGCTACGCCCTGATTCGAGCAGTCTCGTATCATTTTGACATTTTTTAAAAACCAGTCGGAACACTAGAGACCAGCTAAAGGTGGAAATAACTGTTTGATCATTTTTGAAATTTTTGTATTGATGCGGAAGGGCAAGAGTAATTTCAAAATTAAATCTTAGCAAAGGAACGTAAATCCCAATTTAATGACTTCAAAACGCGTTATTTTCATCAATTAATTCAGTTTTCTTTGAAAAAATTGAAGTAATTACAAGAAGAGCTTGTTAGGTTGAAAGATACTTAAAATGTTGCTCATTAGATTTGGGTGGGTAGTTTTCGAGAGAAGTCAAAAAGTTTCAATAAACGGTAAAAAATCAAAAATTTGACTTTTCCGAGGGTCATAACTTTTTGTGTAAAAAATGGAGTAACCGTTTATACAGTGGAGCTCTCCACATCCCGTTCTTCAAATGAAACCAATATTTTAGATTTCGGAGGTAGTTTTGAGAATGTAAAAAATTCAAAAGTTTTGGTCAAAGTTCCCCCCCCCACACACACTCTAAGGTATCAGAGCTTAGGGTTTTTGCATGCAAACATGCGATCAGGTGGACTTTCCATTGGAACCATTTTTTTGAAAATAGGTAGATTTTCGAGAAAAACTATATTTTTGAAAAAAAAAACTAGAAGTTTCTCCAGAGCGTCTCAAAAAGTTTAAAAAAATTTAAAAAACCCAATCCCATACATTTTCGTAATACCTGTCCTAATGAAACAGGAATGGAAGGCTTCTTTCTGATACAAGCAATTTTGTTCTCCGATAAATTGCTTTCTTTTAGTGCTGTCATTGGTGAACATAATGTTGTTAAAATTTCTGCAGCTTCCAAAAATTCTTCATTGCGAGCCTGCTGTCTCACTTTTTGCGATCGGTAGGTATGTGCAATGAAATTGTTCCTTTTTCACATTTTTTGAGTTTTTGCTGTTTGTTTTTATTTATTTTTTAAAACTCTGTCTTAACCTAAATTACGTTTGATAAAACTTTAGAATAAATTTGGTTTGATAAAATCTATGATGGAGTTTTTGTTCAAATTTTGGTTGATTAGCATTTTTTTTGCCTCCTGCAACGATAATTTTCCTAGAAAAACAACCCTAATATTCTTTGATAGGGGATGGGATTTTCAACTAATATGATTTTTTTTGTATTTTTAGATTGACCAAATTGACATTCTGAGCTCTCCAAAATTCCCATAAGGACCCTATGGAGGCCAAATTTTCTGCGACGTAGGCATTAAAAAAATTGGCAAAAAATGGTTTGTCGCTAAAAATCAACACAATGATAGGCTGTTGCATATTTTACAAAAAAGTGTTTATGAAAAATGTTTGTCTTATTTCGTGGGTTAGTGGCAAATTCTTTGTTTCTCTCTCGGGCAAATGGATTCACATTTCAACCTAATTATTAAATCAAGTAAAATTTGAAAATTTAGATCGACTGAAACCGGTTTAACTTTGCAACACTCTGACATCAGAACAGCATTGGTTAACACTTTCCGGAAAAAAATATAGCAATTTAGAAGTTGTAATTGCTTTGTTTTGAAACTTTGTCCTTAACAGACAAAAAATATGAGAGCAGAAAAGGCATACATTTTTACCAGAATTGCTACTCTGAATTTTCCAGTTGCTCATTTGCTACTTTCAATTGCTATTTTGAATTTCTTAAGCTACTAGAAGATTGGTTTGCCATTTTTGCAAAATCAAAAACAAACGACTACCATTTTATAAAAAACCAAATATGAAAATTGTCAAATCGAAGAAATTCTACAAACAAAAAAATTTACTTATTTGAAAAACTTAACTGTAAATACATAGAAAATACTTTTTTCAAAAGGTCTGTAACAATTTTCAGGGACAAATTTCATCAAAATGTATCCTCCGATGACGTACTGACTTACAGAAAAATTAAAGTAAGATTTAAGAATTACTATATATCTCTATTTAAAAAAATTGCCCGGTGACAACCTATTATAAACTGTCATGGCACGACTTCAAATTTATTTGAGTTTTTTTTTCTGATTGCCTTGTTCATACTTTAGTAAGGCTATGTAAAATTATGTGCATTATCAAAATGTGTAAATAAAAACTTAAATGTGGAGTTGACTTACACTTGCTTCTTGAAAATTATTTCAATTTGCTAATAAACTGTTCGTTTTTTTTTAATATTGGTGTTTTCATTTGGCAATATTTAGGCGGAATATTGCAGCTCAAAGATGGCTCGTTTTAAGCGTTTTTACAAAATCAAATTTTTCACCAACAACCAACTGATCAATTGGTGAGCAAATACATTTTTCTTTTCATGATTTTTTTCCATTTAACAAAGTTTGTGAACATAGTTTTTTAATCTTTACTGACAAAAAAGCAAATTTTGCTACATGAAACACCAATTTTTCAATTGAAAACAATGTTTAGACGTTTGAAGACTCAATTTTATAAATTTCTTAGGCTGAAACTAAGCACATACTCGGTAGTTTTTGCAAATTTTGATTGACTAAAAACAGCTAAAACTAATCAAATTTTCGGGTGAAAGTTTGCACCCAAACTCTGCAAAAAAAATTGCAATTTATTTTGAAGCATTTTTGTCTGATCATAGCTTTGGAATGTCACTTCATTTTAGGAAAAAAAAACTATTAAAGTTTTCAATTTTTGGTTTTGTTTGGATAGCTTAGGACAGCACTGTGCAAACAGCGCTATTCTGGACTCAAAGAATTAGAACGTGAAAACTGAAAGAGTTGGTAAATACTCAGGCCAGCGAATAATTTCATTGGTCAAAGTCTTCAGAGAATAGGTTTACGGATCAGGAAACTATTTGATTTTCCACAAATTTTTATGCTGTTGTAAATTTTACAAACCTCTTGACCTCTAGGCTAGTCAATTACATTTTAACATAGCTTTCACGATTATCACAAACAATAAGGAAGTGATATATATTTTCTTTTACGAGTTGAGTTGCAGGGTTGGGACAACTAATATAACATTTTAATTTAAACCTCTTAAAACCTAGGATGTTTGAAATTGTGCTGCTTTATCCAGGCATCACTTGACTAGGCCTTTCTGGCTTTTTGATGTCCCTACATATCAGAAATATATGTAAATTGACAAGTGTCTGGTGAATAGTATCTGCTATAGAAGCAATTTGTTTTGATGATTAATAATGCCTTGAGCAGACTGTAGTTTCCAAACTCTTTTGCACGCGCTAATTTCCTGTGTAAAAATATGCTTTCTCGATGTTGAATTTTTGTGTCATTCCCTTTTAAAAAAGTTTTCAAAAGTAGCAATTTTTTAAGTCTACTGACTCCATTAAAATTTTCACATTTTGTTTGGGCTGGATCAATTAATTATCTTGAAGAGGAAATTATTTGCATCTAGAAATTAACGAAAAAGCTCGCTGTTTCTTTTAAAATTTTTCTTTGAGAGTTCACAGCGCGCTTTTGATGAAACGCAATATTTGCGATTATACTGAAACCCTTCTAAATAAAAAAAAAACATCTCTGAACAACTATACGTCATAAGAAACTTGGTCTGAAACCATTTAATAAGTGACTTAAAATCAGATAACCTAAATTTACCTTTATATGGCCTTGGGGATCCCATGCGTCCACCACAACATCACCCTCAGGAGTTTGTAGAACCCTATAACGAATCCGGGTAATAGCCAAAATTTCTTCGTTATTCTTGAATCGGTTCCAAAACTCTGCAGGCTCTTGGTCCGCTTGCAGCTGTGCTTCGTCCACATCTGTTCGAAACCAGTCGAACTGAAAAATAATGCTTTGTATATGAACTGGTTTGGTATAACTAACAATCACACTACCAGTTTTTGAAATCTCAAACAAGTAAACCTAAAACATGGTCAGCAGACAGCAAAGTTACGATCAACTCAAAGAAACTGAAAACAAATGACTGGATTCTTTTGATTTTTTCAACCACCGAATTTCGAAGAAAAAATTATTCCACTTCGAAACTTTTGGAGTTCTAAGAACAGTTTATGGTAGACAAGTTTTTAAAACCAACCCCAAGTAGAGAACATTTCCTAGCAATTGATTCTGAATATGAAAAGTGCGTTCAATCATGGTGCCCGCATTCATAAGTGCATTTATACAAATTGAATGCAGTTATGGATGCACTTTCAAGTATGAATGATGTTTCTGCACTTATCAGAGCATTCCTGAAACAAAAAAACTTCGCCACCTAAAGAGATGTCTTCTTTGTTAATCGACAATTTAAAAAATTCTTTTTGTTTGCTAGCGCTAAAAACATGTGCAAGTATATGTTTCGATGTGTTTTTAAAATCAAACTCTCGTTAAAAAAGTTTGAATTGAAACATCTTTCATTTTCATGCTTTATACGTTCATTTATATCAAATGAAGTTGCGTAAAATTCAAAGAAAATTATGTTTTTCGACAGTACTTCTAATTTAGTTTAAAAATGTTTCAAGTGTTGAAAAAAAAACTTTTGAATTTCCAAAAAAAAAATAGTTGCCCTTCGAAAATCTGACTTAGTTTTTGTCATTTTTGATAAACTTTAAGCAACTTGAGAAAACTGGTCTGACCTTTAACTGGTTAAAATATGATTCATATTTAAATTCATAAATACATTTTCAAATTCAGAACATCACTTAATTATAGCTGAATCTTGAACATATTTATGAGCATTCAAACGAAAGATTTTTTGATATGGAACTTCTTATTGAATCATCGACTTTTGCTTGATCTTTTTGGAGTTGAATTTCTTCAAATGCTAACTTGAGCTTTGTATTGAACCATGTGTTTAAACGATCTTTCAAACTTTCAGCTTGCGCGAGCTTCAACTTTTGTATTGAAAAATTTATATTGAAATATGTGCTGAAACCACCTATCAAACCACCTTTCAAACTTTCAGTTTGCGCGAACTTCAATGAAAGATAACTCTTCATACTTTGTTTCTGAAATCAATTTTCCTTCAAGGCTATCTATCATGATTATATATTTGAATACAATTTAGAGTTAATTTTTCTTGTTTATTTTTCCTCTTGTAATTTTTAACATAAATAGTGGCTAGTTAAAATCGGAGAATGGAAACGTTAATTTTGAAGCTCCGAGTCATGATAGCATTTTTTTGAAGTTGAAGGTTATGAAAATTGAAAACGCTCATGATCAAAACAAAACTTCAAGCCAAGATAGCGTTGAAAGAAGTCAAATTTCAACCACACTGCTCGTTTCATGGCAAAGCCGTGAATGCTCTGACTTTTAACGGCTGCTAATTCTTAACAAAAGAAGGAGCGTTATGCCGCCCTTGATCCGCTCCAACTTTTAGCAATCTTTTTCCAAATAAAAAAAAAATGCTCACAGGTTTTGAAGGACTGTATCTAACAAGTGATCTAATCTTGATCTGAACTCAAAAAAAGGAGCTGCCAATTGCTGGATACTCAATTTATTCTCTGAGCTTCACAAGCCATTTCTTTTTTTTTTTTTTTGATAAGAAAAAAGAAATAAATATTTTTACAATTTTAGGTAATTTTTAGACCCCTAAAACTGGGCCAAATATGGAAAGAATAAATAGTTTTTTGGCTTTTAATGGATGTAGCGTAAGCCAGCATAGTATGTAGCATGGATTAAGGGTAAATATGATGAGCTACAAGGTCCATGTTTTGAGGCCAAGAAGCTCGTTAGCACCGGAAATGTGTTCTTTTTAGAGATATAAAACAAACTTTGGCAACTTGGTCACATAATAATCAAATAAGTACATCCGGCTTTTTGGCATAGCAATATGAGTCAAATGACCACAAAACTAATTAAATGATAAAAACGGTGAACTATTTCGACCATGATTTACTTTGAAATTAACAAAGAAGTTTTTTTAAAGGTTTTTCAGCTTCAGTTTGTGTGCTGGCAAGAACATCGCCGGCCTCGTTTTCCTCTGGAAAACACTTAGTTTCATCAGGGGCCTCTTGTACACCCCAGATGATGTCTTGACAGAGGCTGATCGAATAACTCTCTCCTTTTCTTCACTACTCGTGCCATTTTGTAATCAAAACGTTTGATCAAATAGTCAATCAGCCATACTAAGTCGCCCACGCTCGGATTTCTATGTTGCTCTACATTCCGCTTAGTTCTCGTATTCCACTAAAGTAGATATTATCTTGACCACCTTTGCCAAATCATGTCTGTATTGCGAGGTTTTGAAGGCTTTTCTTAAATTTGAATATCTTTCCAGTGTTATTAATATAAGGAACAGATATAATGGGTCTACCAATGAGAAAATGATTCGGAGTCAGTGATTCAAGATCACAAGGGTCGTTGCTCACCGGTGTCAGTGGTCTTGCGTTCAGTGTTTGCTCCACCTGACACATCGTTGTGCTCAAAGTCTCATCTGTTATAGATCCAGATCCAAGAACTGCGGCTTCTGGCTAAACGCTGCCAGATCCTACCAAAATTAGGAGCTCCAGAGGATTTGAATTTCCAAACTATAATACTGAGCGTAAATTTCTCCTGGATTTCTAGTTAGTTCCATGTGGTTATCTGCTCTAATTCTTTTGCAGCACCTACAAAGTTGATGCCGTTATCAATCAGGAGGATTGTTTTTGGCTGCCCTCGCCTGGCAATGAACCTTGTTGTTGCTGCTAGACAAGATTCACTATCTAAAGAATGAACGATCCCAATGTGAACTGCTCGTGTTGCAAGACAAGTGAAGAGGCAACACCATCTTTTCAAGCTTCTCCGCAAAAACTTGACTTCGATTGGACCAAAATAATCTACTCCGGTACTTTCGAAAGAGCAAATACCATGTGACACCCGTTCTGGGGACACGAGACATTATTGGTTGATATGTTAAGAAAACTCTTTCCCGTCATCTGGAACAGTGATACTTCATCGACATTAAGAAAATTAAATGTAATAAAATAAAATGATTTTTTTTTCTAAAATTTGATATTTCTTATAAAAATCATCCCCCACTCGCCATATAAAGTACAAAAGGATAGATTTTACTCCTTGTAACAAATCAATCATGGTAAATAAGTTTCTTTCAACCAATTTGGAACAATTTCTAAGACGGATTAAATCTCCGCTTACGCGTTAAGAGCGTGAAATATATCGCGCGTTAATAGCCCCAAAATGGCCAAAACGGCAATTTTTAAACCCACATAACTTAACGAAAAATTATCACAAAAGAAATATCTTTTCAAATTAAAGCTCAGGAGAACAATACCTTTCGAATGATATAAAAATATTCCGTCAAAAATGGCTTGTTAAAAAATTCGAAATTTGTCAGAAAAAAAACCCACTCGAGCACAAATATTCCGTTACTTTCGTATCGAAAGTCGGAACAAAAAGTTCAAAAACGTAGTATCAATTCGTGATTGAATATTCGGAATTCAAGATATGAAAGCTCTTAATGAAATTATAATTCCCAGTGAAAGTCGAAAGAATGATTTCACACAATGACTCACTTTGTAATTTCAGTTCAAAAGAATCTTCAATTAAATTTCTCTAGCGGCCCAGATGAAGCTAGAGGTACTTGTTTGATATTTTTGAATTGTTTTTTTTTAGCGGGAGCACAGATATCTGTTTGATAATTTTTGATTTTGTTGTACTGATGCTAGAAGAAATAAACAATTTCAAAGTTTTAAAAATTGTGTTTTACCCAAAACTTTAGTTGATGCTCTTAAAATATGCGTGAAAATTTTTGTGATTTTGAAATTTTACCAGTGACATAAACGTTTTGTGCAGCTTTTAGGGCGTCACTTCTTGGGTAAATAGTCTTCCCACAACCCACAACCTGTTGAACTGATTAAACCCTTGATATCAGATTGAGTGTTTTAGAGAAAAGTCAAGTTTCAAAAATCGGTCATTAAATCAAAAACTGCAAAAAAACTGTTGAAAAATCATAGAAATTGATCGAAATTTTCGAGGACGTAATTGTTATACTAATACAATTTGTTTGTAGACGTTCATGTAGAAGCGTTTTCCACAACTTGTTTTTCCATTGAACCCATAATTTCAGGTTTAGGAGGGAAGCTTTTGAGAAAAGTCAAAAAGTTTGTAAAAACGGTCGAAAATTCACAAATTGACTTTTCCGAGATTCACAATTTCTTATAAGAAAACTTATCCGCTAAATCAAGGAACTTCTCAAAACCCGTACTTTTGATTGAAATCGAAACCTCAGATTTTGAAGGGTAGTTTTCCAGAAAAGTCAAAAGTTTAAAAACACAATAGAAAAAAAATTGAATTTACGAGGGCCATAACATTTTGTGTCAAAAAATTTTGTTCGCTTCTTCTTGTACCGCTCTACCTATTGAAACCAGAACCTCAGATTTGGGATTGTAGTTTTCGAGAAAAGTCAAAAAGTTTGGACACATACATATTGTGAGACAATATTCTTTTGGAAACCAGTGTGAAAAAACTGTCCAATTTTTTGACCACTTTTGTTTTGCCGATGTATATATATTGAAGTGCTGAATTAAGAAAACAAACGCGGCGATTGAAATGCTTCGTGTCCGGGCATGATTTCCAGAACTTCCTGCTTAGCTTGAAAATTTATTAGGACGTAAATTTATAGACATATATAGAAGCCAATGAACATCCTTAATTGACATACAATAAGTTTTTCAGAAATTTTTTTTCTTGTTTTAGACAGCGGTTTTAATAAAATCTCAGAATAGGGTGACATTTCCGAGGGTGTAAGTTTTTTCGTAAGACAATTTGTGCGTATACCTTCATGCAGAGGAGCTTTCCACAACCGGTTTACCTATGAGCCCAAAATCTCAGATATAGGAGGAAAGTTTTTGAGAAAAGTCAAAAAAATTATTGAAAAAACTTTCAAAAATTCACAAAATGACTTCTCCGAAGGTCATGATTTACTGTTAAAAAGTTTGGGATTATCCGCTAATTTATCCGCATCCCACATCTCGCACTTTTGATTTTGATTGAAATCAAAATCTCACATTAAAAAATTTTTTTTTTTAAAATACGGCTGTTTTTTTGCATTTTCGAGCAATAATTTTGTACCTCAACCCTTTTTCACTGAAACCAAAATCTCTGATATTTCTTAAAATTGACTTCTCAAACTTGAAAATTGAACACATACAATTTGCGAAAGAATATGATTATGGAAAACAGTGTGAAAAAACTATCAAATGATTAATGATGACTTTTATTTCGCCAAAGTTAGTTATTAAAGTGCTAAGATTAGAAAAGAGACGTTTCATTTGAATAGCTTCGTTTCCGGGCACAATTTCCAGAACTTCCGATTTAGCTTGAAAATTTATTAAGATGTAAGTTAATAGACATTTAGATGTTTTGACAAATTGGACTTGAAAAAGCCAGTGAACATCATTATTTAACAAAAAATGACTTAATTTTTCTGTGTTTTAATGTTTGCAGAAATTTATTTCTTGTTTTAGACAGTGGTATTTAAAAAAATGAAAAAAAAATAGAACCGGCTAACACAAAAACAATTTTTCAGATGTTGACTTTTTTGCAGATATAATTTCTTGCCCATTAATCACGATTTTTCTACAACTGGTTCAAAAAATTTTTGTTTCATTGTGCCTGTAGATCCATATTCAATTTTATCCTATAATCCACTAATATCTAATAAAATCCGATCAAAGAATATTCTTCCCGATAAAGAAAATTTAAAAAATCCTATAATTTTTATCACAAACTAAAAAAATAATATGGCAAAACAATCTTTCTTACAACTTTGCTGCATGTTATAACAAAACCAAATGCAATTTTAGCTTAAGGTCGATTTACTTTTGTAGTTGCTTACAAGTCTTTTTGAAAATATCTTTGAGTATGTTGTGATAAAAATTTTGGCTGTTTCAATTTTTGTTTAACATTGTTTTAGACCAATTTCTGGCATTGTGTTCGGCTATTTGGGTCTTTTCTTTTATAGGCCAAAATTGACCTTTTGGTTGCTTTGAAATTAGATCATATTGCTCAAATCTGATTGGTTGAACTTCACAATCACAGAAAAAAAATTAAATCTTTCAAAAATTGAAGCTCAATCATCAATTTTCATTTGGGCCCTATAACAGAAAAGACCTGGCTATTTTTTGACCCGGCTAAACTTTCGATTATGTTTCGACCACACTTTTCACAGTCGACCACACAATTTTGTGTATAATTTTGATTCGACATTTTGTTTCGACTGTGAGGTTTGGTCGACTATTATTTTGAACTTCTGATTTGATTTGTGTTCGATTACAATTCGAAACTTTTTGAACATAACTCCCACCTGTAATTTAAGAACTTGGTTTCGAAATTGCTTTCGACCGAAACTAATCACATCAACCAGGGTAACTCGAAAGGGAATCGCAACATAACTTTCACTCATTCGTCCCCCTTCACATGGAAAAATATGTAAAACATTTCGGAAGATTGTCTTACTTGATCTGCGTTTATAAGGTCTCTCAGCCAAGCAAACCCATAATAACTTTCAGCTGAACTGTTGAATTTTTTATTTGATATTTGCTGTGCGTATTCGGTCCACACTCGGCTCCTCCTTATCGGAGTCCTGCTGATTAGCAAGCTGCTTCGAAAAGATACGCGACTCCCACCCAGATGTACGCACCGGGAGTTAACTGATAAGCGAACCAGTTGTCACCCGGAGCAACTTCCATCTTTCCGAGTTCTCTGAAGAAAAAAA